ACATACCAATCATTTATAATTTCTGTGGGAAAAGTCTGAAGTACTAACAAAGCATAGTAGCAATTATTATGTAATTGTAGCTTATTTCTTATGGATAATTCTTTCAGGTTTAATAGGGGCACATTTGATTAGCATTGTCATGTGTATGTAGTTAACAACAGTTTTCTTCTAAACAATAATTTGTTGCCAAGGAACTTTTACGTTATTCACTTTTAGCATAATAATATGCGGTTGCATGCTTCCATTAGGCAATCTGTACTCTACGAAAACTGTGGTAACTTGGGTTGTGCCAGAGAACAACCACCAGATCATTAGCAGGAGTGTGGACACAGACCACACTAGGCACCATATTGGTAGCTATGTGTCTTTCACCAGTCCTGTCTGCATTTTGTTCATTATCTCAGCTAATTACCTCATGCTAAGAAGTGGCTGTCCATCAATAGCCTTTAACACTATTAGCTTCAACCACGCACAGTAAAGAATTTGTCAACTAGGACTTTCTTAACAGAAAAACTTTGGTACCATGGTACATATTCTACTCAAAAGGGTAAATTAAATTTTTACAAGTTTTGTTTTCACTAAATTAAACTTGCATGGATAAGCTCAAAGGGAAGGGCACCAATACTTTACGTTTACCGACAGTGTAATCTATTTACTTACATAATCTAACTACTGTAGGCTTGCTCGAATTAAGAATTAATGACAATAATAATAATCTTTTGAAACCCACTGTCATGGTTGCAATGTTCAGAATGTATTTTTTAATTGTACTTAGGGCATTAGCTCAACATATGATGTCACATATTTCTTGTAAAAATGTCCGTCACAAGACACTGCCTTTTGCTTTTATCTTGGAATCTGCCCATCCTCTTTCTAATTTTTGCCGCAATCCAAATAAAGTTTCAACCATTCCTGGTTGATTATGAGTGAAAGCATACCATTCCAATTTCTGTTAACACTGTTTAACTCAGTTGCAAGCACAGTACTGACAAAGTTAAAACTGTACCAATGTAACTGTTTCCCATAAAAGCATTGAAGCTAAGTGCATGCATGCACCTGTCCAACTTACAACAAAAGGGGTGTCCAAGATATAGGATATTGTGGATATGTAAAATTATAGGATATTCGCCGGTTCCAATTAAAAGTGTCCAATATAAAGGAGTGTCCAACTAGAGGGGTTTTACTGTATATAGTTTTCATACCAATTGTATGTTGTAATTTATCCTTATTGATGAAAGAAACCCTCAGAAAACGTGTTTAATTTATCAACATGCAAAATCAAGAAACATGTTATAAGAAAAGATAATTTTTGACAAATTCTTACCAGGGTTGACCAGAAATGTGAATTGGTTGTTAAATTGTGTCGGACAGAATTCTTCCATCTGTTATCATTTGCTTTGAAGTATGGAAAATGTAAAATGCATAGAATTCTAATATACATTTTAACACAAATTTTGAGAGGAATTTAAAATATTTAACCAAAAACAAATGGCATTAAGTAAGCTATTTTTCTGTTTCTTGGTACAGAACTGATTTTCAACACTCTGGGACAGTCCAAACTTCCTCAGCTCTGTGACTGATATTTTCACTTAAAAAACTGTAGCATGGAACTGAATAAAAGGCTGTGATAAAAGCTCATTAGTTATTATCTATTCTGACTTTGTTTTCCCTCACAATTTATTCCATAACCTCATTCATTTTTCACTGAATGAGAAGAATGTTCTGCAATCACCAGTCCACATTGAATGGTGTTCAGTTGTATTTTACTGCAGGATGAGAAACACTGCATTCAAGACAGTCTTTCTTGGCTCTGTTTGTGGATTGTTTAATGTCTGGCTTTTGACACGAATTAAACAGTAGCGATGGTAGGTGATTCTAATGCATTCTAGACGGGACATTGGGGCATGTTTAATTCCTGCCCACTGACACCATCAACACTTAATGGCGTATTATGAATGAAGCTAAAATATCAGTTCAATGACGGGAAGTGTTCTGTGATGCATGCATGTATTTTCTAATGTAATAAACAACTGCATCGAAAGAGATTTAATTTCCATTAGGCTACTTACGAAATCCATTGGTAGATTTGAAAAATGGTAAGTTCTCTGTTCTCCAAAAGAGCTTGTTTAATCATTTCAGCGATTGAGAACGGTAATCTCTAAGCCTAGATAACGATTCTCAGTTTTCAACAGCTGAAGTATACGCCTGATCACACCAGGCTGTGCTCTCTGTCGTTTTAGTGCAAGACGGAGCCAAGCCGACGTCTGGGCGCCGGAATTTTGCTAGCACCTTAAACAAAGGAAATGCCATTTTAAACATGAGCATTTATAGAAACAAATATCTTTACTTACTCCTCAGTTATAATTCTGCTTGTCACCGGTTCATATCTCTGTACATGCACTTCATATCTTGACAGTTTCGTGATAAATTTTCATTGTATTCCTTGGTTATTTCTAGCAAATTCCGGTTGAATTATGCCACTACGACTTTATGCCATGCCCTCTCCTTATCATTATTCATTAACCGCCCTTATCATTCTACAGTTAGTCTATACTCTGAGCTGCTGCCAGCGTCGTTAAATAACAACAATTACAAATACCAACCATACTGTCTGTGTACTCACAGAAATAAACATTTTTCACATGTATCAGATCAAGGAAGGATATTAACGTGAATAAATAGCACAGTGGCTGCATGTAAAGATACGAGCTTCTGTCATATTCGACGCAAGCACTGAAGCAGAGACGTCATTTGACGATCGAAATAAAAATTTTAAAAATAATCAAGAGAGAGGATTATATCTGTTACTACTACTATGACTACTGTTATCTGTGAAGTAAAGTGAGGTTATGTGTTGATACAGATTCCTGAAGCTGATTTTTATAATGCGTTTTGGAATAAAATCTGAATGCTTTAAGCGCCAAGAAACTTAATGTTCTTTGTGAAAAATTACTTTGGACGGTAGTCTGTGCCATAATTGTAATCTGAATTAGATGAATGGCAGTAACATTAAAGTAGAGGAGCCAACGAACTCATGTAAACTTGACACTAAGTATAGTTTCAGACCAAAAATTACTACAAGGAAGTGTGCAAGTAATACAAGCAACTACAGAGTGAAATCAAATCCCTTTTCTTTAACAAAACCAGTTTACTGTAAACGAGAGGATATAAGTTATTTTCAAGTGAACTGTAAGTTACGTACTTCTGTAGTATTGTTAGTGGAATTAAGCAAGTCCTGGAAGCCAGGTATAATAAGTTTATTAATTTATGGATTAGGAAACTTTCTTCCCAATCCTTAGTTGTTTCCTTTCACTTGTGCTCTATTATAATTCTGTTATTAGTCAGACAAATCTCAATTAGTACAAAGCCATTGTCAACCACCCTTACCTGCTGTACATTGAGTTTGTGTATTGTAGCCGTTATTAGGTGCATCATTATATAATTTTGTCTGAGGTCTCATAGAGTGTGTCTCACTAAATGTTTAACATGATTTTTATTAGACCAAAACCAAATGATGTAAAAATGCACCTGTTGATAATAATATGAATCTATGTAGGATTTGAGGTTGGTGGCTATCTATCATACTACAAGGCACAGCAACCCAGAAGCCAGCAATCTTCATGATATGAATCCATTATTTCATGTATTTATAACTAAAATATGTGTTTGTAGGCAGTATTTTAAACAGTATTGGTTACTAGTTAGATTTAGTTTGGTCAGATTATGTTGACTTTTGCATATTCTTATTAACCATTCACAAAGAATTGCGTAAATGTTACTTTGTAACTATTTTATTGTCATGCGGGTTGAAAATTAAAGTGTTCTACACAAAACACATTAGCAGGCCACAGACTGTGAATCCCTGGACTTTGATTTCATTCAAAGTTGCATTCATCAAAATTAGAGAAAGGAATTAAATATAACTTACATGAAACCAATATCAATATGTCCCGTTGTTTCCAGTGGGCCATTTGCTTAGTATAAACTTTATTCTTTTATGTAAGACTTGAGGTTCTCACAGTGGTGAGTATGAAGATATCCGTCTTCTGGGTTATTGCGCTGTGTAGTCTGGTCGATGTTAACCAACGTTTCAGAGGTCATACTGCCTCCATCATCAGGGCGATGAATATGCTAATAGGGTGTGAGGTGCTGGGTTTATAGGCCGGGAAGTGAAAGGTGTAGCCTGCCCCGAGCCAATGGGAGCAGGCATGGGAGTGGACCAATGGTAGCACGTAGGCGAGAATGGGAGAGGGAGAGAAAGTAGAGAGAGAAAGGTGAGTTTGGTTGTATGGATCAGGGCCCTGAAAAGGGCCATGTTAGTGGTCTGGTTGGTTCTGGCGGCGCACTCTTGCTCGCTCTCGGAGTCCTCGAAGTGTGTGAATAAGAGGCTTCCAGGACCGGCTCAGGTGAAGTCCATCTTCCCTGTTAAAGTTATCGGGATGTAGTTCAATCTCGATGGCTTCCCTGATTAACCGATCCATGTAGCCGGTTTTTGAGGAGAGGATAGAAGTGTCCTCTAGCTGTATATGGTGTTCCATGTTGAAGCGGTGTTCAGCAACGGCAGATTTCTCGAGCTGCCCGAGCCAGATGTGGCGTTCGTGCTCCTTGATCCTGGCCTCAACGGACCGGCCTTTTTATCCTATGGAAAACTTGTTATCATATATTTGGCTGTAATTTTCAGCCAGGGTCCATGAGACGAATCCTGTTCTTTATGAACATAAATCATCCCCACATCTGAGCACAAGTAACATTAGACAAGAAGTAAGGTAGCAGATCTGGGGCAAGTTGATGATGTGGAGTTCATTCACATGGGTAATAATTTTAATCTCCCCTTTTTTACATGGTGAGAAAAGACATTAATGTGACATTTTCATTTGTCGGTACATACACTTCTGTCTTGGAACCAGTCTGTAGGGATACAAATCCTCTCACTTGTGAGTATGTAAGACAGAGTAAAGTTAATTTTATTATATTTATAGTCTCTGAAATTTCCATTCAGAACACATCATACATACTCTGTGCTACATCATTGTAGCACAGAGTAAGAATAAAGTGCACTTTAGGTATCATAATAAATGTAGTTCCTCCTCGATTTCTTTAATAGATTTTCCATTACAAAATGCCAAGAAAGATGAGCTTCTAGTTTCCCACTTTGAATATAGGAACTTTATAATCTGGCAATAATACACCAAATTGTTGTTCACAGGTAACTAGGTTCATTCCCCTTTTGCAGATATTTTACTCTAGTGAATTTTTAGAATGTGCTGAATATGAGGTTGTCACTGTGGGATTGCAGAACCCCTGTGCCAGTGTAAAGTTCGTCATTCTGCAATTTGACAGTGTACAGTCTGTCTAATAAATGAAATTCTTGGCCACACCAGGTGAAGTTGAAGAAATGATAACTTTAATCATGAAGTGCTTGTTTTTGTTTAAAAATTAATTGAAATAACAGTTTAGTTCTTGCAGTTAATAGAAATTAATTTGCAAGATTTAATATTGTTATACTGTTGTGTGTGTTGTTGAGTTATCAGAATAATTAATTCTCTACCTGAGAGTAAGCTGTCATAATTAAAATTTATTCCTTTTCGTTGCCTGTCATAAAACCCTTAGAATGAGATTTATTAGTAGTGCATAGAATTAAGTTCATTTCCTAAAATCACGAATTTAAGATGGAATAACAGAACACAATGACTAATAAATGTTTCTAATTAATGTAGTGGCTATCCTCTGAGGTGTACAGAATTTTTCCTATGAAGTTCAGAATAAATTTCCATTTTTCAAATTTAAACATATGACATTTATGTTTGTTTCATGTGGTGTGTCAATTAAGTTCCTGAATTGCCCAGTAAAAGTTGTATTTAATTACTTACACCGGGCTGGTCCAACTTTTTTCCTCGCTCGGGCCAGAATAGTTTTCCTCTTGGACCCAAGGGCCAAGAAACCCCCACTGTCACTATTTTTGCATCGTCATTATCTTTAATAATACTCATTCAGAAATGACAAATTACCATTGCATACTGAGACAGCCAAAGAGCTTTAAAAATGGAATATGATTTGTTTTTGAAGTATTAGTGCAATATAGACTGTTTTCCAGTAATTAAGTCTGTAGTGATTTGTTCTGGTACAAAAATACACAGTAATGACAGACATTTAAATTTATAGGTATTACTTGAAGTCATAGTCAGGCAGTCATTTATAAAGAGAAGAATTTCTGTTATTATAGATTGTTACTTATGTTTGTCATGATATGCAGATTCCTGTCATGGCTTAGTTTCTGTGTCCAATTTTTCCAGAATCCATTTGCCAAAAGAATGATGTGAACCTTTTACAGTTTTTCTGCACAGATCACCATTGTGCCAAATGTTGTACAACATTCTCTGTACATCGTACACATAAAATATTATTATGTGCTCCCTGTCCTTTGTTATTGATTATCTTACACATAAGTCAGTGGTAAAGAGTAGTAGCATGGACTTTTAAATAACAGATACATCTGCTTTTTTCCCCTCTTTTCAGCAGAGTAACAGGTTTATAAATAATTTATTTATGTCACTGATGCAAGATTCCACTAATATTTGTTAGTACAGAATCCTCATCAGAATATTTTATTATTGATGCTGTTTCTTTTGTTCCCTTAATGCATGATGTTTACATTTTGTGATTTTCATGCAGAGAGAACTGCAGTTGGAAATGACAGTGGACACTCTTAATGTCATTCACAACTATCGTAGGTAATATACCATTGCCATTGGTTTTAATTTTTGTCATATTCGACTTCAGTGATGAAATGGTATACTAATTTCTGGGCTCTTCAATTCTTCACAGATTAAAGAAGCAGTTTTGCACAGGTTAATTAAATTCATTACCTCTTGTTAAAGTCAGTGCCCCAGTGTTTGTAAGCATTAGAGCACACATTTCCATCATGTTTAACTTAACGCCTTTGAAACCCAGTGGTAATTATATGTACCACAAAGAACTATCAGTAATAGTGCAAAGTATTTATTTATATGAATTATAACACAGTAAAACCTCTCTAAGTTGGACACTTGGGGGTTCCACGAAAATGTGTCCAACTTACAGAGGTGTCCAAGATAGAGGGAAAGAGAAAAATC